ATAGTTTTTTAGGATGGCTTGGAACTTGAGATCTCCCCATCTCAGCTTCTCCAGTGCTGGGATTACAGGCATGTGCCTGTATACCCAGCTTCACTTACCTTTTCACACATTTACTTTAAACCATCCCAGTTAAAGCTAGTTGGGAGTTTTTGTTGTTATATTTTTATGTTTAAAGAAACAAAGTGATAGAACCAATAGAAAGACAGGAAGCAAAGAAATTCAACATAAATTTCATTATTATTTTCTAGGAACATAAACATATAAACAGAAGTTAAATGTCATTGTAAACAAGTATTTCACTCACTTTACAAAGTAATCAGCAGATACATTTCAGAAATTATAAATTATTCCTACATGATGAAAGAAATTATACAAATGTTAAGACAATATAAACTTATAATTCAGGAGCATAAGTTTATCAGAAGACCACTAATAAAGAATATAGCATAAATGTTTCTATGGAAATAAATTGTTTTGTTCTTCACAGTATATATTTCTGTCATAATACCTGTCATCATTTTATATCCCTCATCATGAATATGAGGCAAAGACCCAATTTTCCAATAAGAAAATGCAAAAAAAATTTTAATTTGGGTTCATAAACTTTTAGGGCTAAAATGGCTAACTAACATTTTGTTACCATCTGTTCATTAAATTATGTTTAAACACATGAATTTAGAAGTACCTTTTCCTGTTCTCTCATTTTATTAAACATTGTCTGAATTCAGAATATGGGCCATTCTGACTGGGGTAAGTGGCCCATCAGCTGTACTGAGCATCCTGAAGAAAAAGAACTAAGCAACTCAAGGGTGGTGATGGGAGGAAGGGAATGAGAGAGAAAGAAGGAACAGCTGATACTAAGCAAAAGGAAAGTACATATCACCCGATTTGAAGAAATATCTCATTGTTAAAGTTTTTAGAGTTCATAAACTTTGTAGATTAAGGTGATGATGATTATCGTTGTGAAGGTTAAAATGTGACCTTAGCTAGGTATAACTATGCCACAGTATTGTGAAACATATGTAGAAATATTTGGAGAAAAAAAAAGAATATTGGCTTAAGACCCTTTTCTTACCAAGATAAGAAAATAACTAGTTTATTCAAGAATGTTAAAGCTTAAGAGCTTATATTCAGGTTTGGGAATGTGGCTTAGTGGTTGCTTGCCTACCATGCAGGAAGCCCTGGGTTTCATTCCTCAGTACCACATAAACAGAAAAAGCCAGAAGTGGCGCTGTGGCTCAAGTGGTAGAGTGCTAGCCTTAAGCAAAAGAAGTTCAGGGACAGTGCCTAGGCCCTGAGTTCAAGCCCCAAGACTGGCAAAAGAGCGTATGTTCAGCTTGGGGTAACTTTTCTACCAAAATTATTTCCACTTTGTGTTAGGAAAAAACCCTATTTACTCATTACTAGTTATGTACAAAGTTTACTGCTTTTCCTACTAAATCATACTGGATAATAAAAACTGCCTGGGAGATGAACTAAGGCCCTTTGTCCTGAGAGATGGAGTAGCCACTAGCGAGATTGTCTTTGTGCCTGTCTTTCTCATTCCACTCTATGCCTCTTCTAGGTACCTGTTTACCTTGCAGCACTAGACATGGCAGATATTGATAATGGAGCAATCTATTTGCTTAAGTCAACTTTACTACTGTCAGCCCCACTTTCAGCAGTGCTTAGTGCTATCAAATTCTGAATCTTTGGGAATTTAGGCAGGCAAACTGAGCTATACTTTAGCTTCCCTCCATTACAATCATAGGATCCAATTCTTTGAAAAGCTCATTTCCAATCATTCTTCTATTTTCAACTTTCTAAGATTTTTTTTCTTTCAGTCGTGGGGCTTGAACTCTGGACCTGGGCATTGTCCCTCAGCTCTTAAGCTCAAGACTAGCGCTCTACCACTTGAGCCACAAGGCCATACCCATTTTTCTGGTAGTTTACTGGAGATAATAGTCTCACAGACTTTCCTTCCAGGGCTGGCTTTGAACCATAATCTTCAGATCTCAGCCTCATTAGTAGCTAGGATTACAGGCATGAGCCACTGGCGCCTGGCTCTAGAATTTTATTATTGACATTATTTTATTTTCTCTACCCTTATGTAATTAATCATTTAATCCCCCCCTTAGGGTAATTTTAATAGGGCTTTCAGGAAGAATAGAGATCATGCCAATTGGTAAAAAGATTAAAAAGTTGAGGACTGAGTTGTGACTCAAGTGGAAGAATACTTTCCTAGGAACCATGAGGCCTAGTGTTCAATCCCCAATGCCACAAAATGGAAAAAAAAAAGGTAAAAGAAAGTTTTCTTTTCTTTTTTGCCAGTCCTGGGACTTGAACTCTGGGCCTGGGAGCTGTCCCTGAGCTTCTTTTGCTCAAGGTGAG